AAAAAGCTAAAATCCTCATAAGGCCTTGCCTGGACTCACCCTAACTACCTCCCCGGCCTTGTACTACTTTCTTCTCACTCTCTAGGCATCAGATTCTTCAAGACAACACATGCCATTCAACCCCAGGGCCTTTGCACTTGCTATTTCCTCAATCCCCTTACCTAATCAAGTCCTGCATAGCCTTCAAATTATAGCTCAGGGGCTTCCTTGAATCTCTGGTTAAAGTCAGGCTTCTTTGTCCTACATTCTCAAAAAACCATGCACCTTTCCTCCAAAGCTGTGCTTTGTTATTATATATACATTTGTATGACTATTTGAATAATGTCTATCTTCCCAATAAATTGAAAACTCCACGAGAACAGGGACTAAGACAGTAAACAGCCCATGGTGGGTGCTCAGTAATTATTTTAGAATTAACCAATAAAAGACTTATATTTACTTAGGGCTTCCCAAACATCACCTGAGCCCTCAGGCAAACCTTTGAAGTTACGTACGATTGTCCCATTTTAACAGATGAGAACACCAAGGCCCAGAAACTGGGTGATTTGTTCAAAACCACGCAGAGACTAAATGGACAAACTTGAATCCAAGTATTCAGACTAGAAGAAACGCCTCTTCTCACACACACTTTGGATAGCTTCTCTTAAACAGTCCTTTTCCATAGTCGAGACTCTTCAGCTGAGGAGCTGTTCATATCTGCACTGAGATGCTGCCCTGTTCTGAATCCGGGGCCCGTGAACCTCACATCACTGGCCGTCCTTCAGCCAGCTGCACCACGTCTACACATCCGGGCCCCAAGGGGCAGAGAGAAGGAGGGACTCTTGCCACGCGTGTGGAAGGCGGGGCTCCTGCTGATCCTGACACAGTTGCCTGAAGTCTGAGCCCCGCCTTGGGGAGACCGTTTGCACGCAGGCATCACCACTTCACCTCATTGGTCAACCAGGAAAACAGAAAACACCTTTCAGTATTTCAAACAAAGGGAATTTGAGGCAAGGAATTTGTTACACAGGTGACCAAAGAGGCTGATTAGCCAACCTGGGGACCAGGCGAAACCCAGAAGTCAGCAGCCAGGGAGCCATTGCCACCCTGAGACCACAAGGACTAAGGGAGCAGGGGCCTTACAAGAGGGCAGGGCCCAGGTCACCTTGAGGGTGGATGGGGAGAAATGCCTTGGTGCGGGAGGGAGGATAATGCAAACTCAACCCCCTACCAAAGATGTCCCTGTTCTAATTCCCAGAATCTGCAAATATGTCATCTTTCCAGGCAAAAGGAACCTTGCAGAGGTGACAAAGTGAAGGATCTTCAGGGGAAAGATCATTCCAGATGACTCAGGTGGACCCAGTGTCATCTCAACCATCTTATAAGAGGGAAGCGGGGGTCAGAGTCAGAGAAGGCAATGTGACAACAGGGGCAGAGGTCAGAAGGACGTGGCCACAAGTCAAGGAATGTGGCAGCCACTAGAAAGGAGATGAGTTCTCCCCTAGAGCCTCCGGAAGGAAGGCAGCTCTGCTGACACCTTGGCTTTAGTCCCTTAAGACTTATTTCAAACTTGGGATCTCCAGAACCAGAAGATAATGGACGTGGGTTGTCTGAATCACTCAGGGTGTGGCCATCTCACAGCAGCAGTGGGAAACTGATACACTTGGCTCGGACCTTCCTCCCACACTTCAGTTTCTCACTAGCTGCCCCCCACAGGAAGCCAAGCGACAGGGAGGCCTGGGAAACATGGCCCACAAGGGAAGACAGAAGAGGGTTGGGGGAAACCCGCCAAGGACCCCTGCCCTCACTTTTCTGCCCCACAGGAAGCTTGTGCTCCAATGGACATCTGAAACTCATTCTCCTGAGGCTCTTCTTGAAACCCTCCATAGATCATTCATCCTGTTGAGTTTGTGCTAATCTATGTTGCCTGGCATATTAATACCTTTGCAGCGACAGGAACATCAATATAATAAAAACAAAGCTGATTCTCCCCTGATTGATTCAGATTCATCATTAATTATTAGAACCAAGGAATAACATCTGGTCAGGGAGTAATTTTCCTGAGATGGTCTGGTAATTTTGTGGACGCCATTTGATTTTTCTTATTTCATTAGCTTGTAAATCAAAACAGATGGCGTCACCTTATCTTTCTCAACTGCACCAGCAATAGAGGACTGTCTACAGAATGAGGGGATTCCGCAAAAGCCGAGCCTGCCCCGGTTTATCGTGTGTGCAGGCTGCCTCCCACTGCTCCCTTCTCTGAGTCATTCCCCCGATGTGACTTGGCAGCTCGTCTCCATCAGCTCTGTGGTTGAAAAAAAAAAAATGGGTCATTGCGCTGTGACAAAAGGACATTCACTGCAAATACAGCAATTAAGAAAAGTTTGAGCTCCAATGGTCTCAAATGCCCAGAGGAAGCTTGTACTTGCAGCGTGTGGGTGCCAGAAACAGACAGACTGGCAAAGCAACACAGTCTCCCCCAGCAGCCCACCAGGGACACGTTTAAGAATTCAATCAGACAGAAGGAAGTGGCTGAAAGCCACTGATGGAGGGGACATGAGGCCTTGAAAAAGGCTGTTTTCTACATTACCAGCATTTAATTGAAACATTCTGGAACCACCAGTCCCGGGACTTAAAAATAGGGCATCACAACAAAAGACTCAATGGTAACATTTTCATTTAGGAAATTTCATTTTTTTGCCTAAATGATATGGACGTAGATCGGGCTCACCTTACAGAAAGGCCGAGCATCACTGGTTTCACCCGCACACGCGCAGACGGGCGCACAGAACTGGAAGGGTTCACAGATGAAGCCGACTAGCAAGAAATGGACGCAGGTGATGGGTACACAAGTGTTGGTTGTATTAGGCTCTGCTGAGTCATTGTGAATGTTTTAAATTTTCCGTATAAAAGAGGAAAAGGCAGTGTTGATTTCATAGGCTGCAAAGGATTTTTCATAGTTATTCTTTCCTCCCACGGCTCATTTCATGAAAATTTCCCCCAAGCTTCACCGTGTCTCTAAGTCACGGGACCTAGAGGCACTGCAGATATTGCTAAGCCCGCTCTGAAGCTCTCCGTGCCGATGTGGAAAGCAGAAGCCTGCTCTGGCAGAGGAAGGGCGGTGCCCAGGCAGAAGGCATGGGAAGTGAGTGGGCAGCAGGCTGAAGGGACCGAAAACAGCAGGACAGTAGCAGTGCTTCCACTGAAATGCGCTGGGACCAGCTCACCTGTACTAGAGGGCGCCTAGCATCCCCGGGACACTCAGCTACTAACTCAAGTTTAATCCACGAAGCATTTCGTTGAACAGCCATCATGAGCCAGGTCGGGGCGCTGAGCACAGAGCACATGACTATGAGTAAGTGCCACCATCTGCACACGCTCAATCTTCATTGTCTTTAAAAGTTGAAGCACATTGACTAAACTGTCTGCAAACTCAGTCGTCTTAGCTGCATTAACCTAAGGAAGAAAATCTCCAAAGACAAACTCTACAAATGCTGCTGTTCCACACCAGCTCCACCTGCGTGCAGAGCATGTGAGCTGATGACATGCTTGCCTCCTTCTTAGAAACAAGTTTTAAAAAGCAAGGCAAAACTAGGCTTTTCTAGAGAGGACCGAGATGGGCAAGATAACGCGCTGCTGATGGGCTGACGAATGCTCGGTGTTCATAGGACAGAACCATGAAGCAGAGCACAGTGAGAAGGCGATTCACGCCGATTCCACTTTGGAACAAAGGTCTGAGAAGTCACAAGGGTCCTTAGCGCAGGTCATGCTGGGTTCTGTCGCTGTGGGGAATGGGGAATGGGAATGGGGAATGGAGGAGTGAGGAAATAAGCCGATTGATAACGGACCGCCCAATGCCTCATCCATCTAAAGCAACGTCCCCTTCCCCCTTCTCTTCCTTCTTGACAGCTGGCCCAGAGAACCTAAACTTAGCAAGGGCGAGGTGTAGGAAACCAGATAGCGCATTCTACAGTTGGATAGGAAATACTGGGCTCAATGCGTTTAAGGTTAAGATTAATTCCTCACTTCCTCTGAATCTATTTTAAAAACAGAGCAAAGGATGGCATATGCTTTCTTCTAACAAAATGACAGATGATCAAAGGAGCAACATGATCCTTCTGTCAAACCCTCCTACTGCTATGGCCCTTTGCCTACAGTTAAGTTTTTTTTTAAGTATTTTATCATTGCGGTTAAAACTTGGTTGCCTGTGTTTATTCAATAGTGGCAACAACCAGAATAATGGTGAGTAGTGATTGGTGGAATTGACACGAGCCAGTAGAACAAAGGAAAATTTTCGTGGGATTGTTCTTAAACATCGACTTCACAGCAACCAGCAAAGACCGCAAGGCACTCTCTTTCTCAAGCCTGTGAGACCTGGTGACTGAGAGCAGAAATCTGCCCGCCGCTGAGGTGGAGAATCAATTTTTCTGATTTGCAGTAACAATCCTAATTAATGTTGGCTCGTTATTATTCCTTGTGTTCTGTAAACAAGAGCTCCCTTTCTGCATAGCTGCTCATTAGGGCTGATTTAATTGAATCTCAGAAGCAAAGGCATGACCGCCTCGGGAAGCGGAGGGCTGGAGGCTTCTGAGCGAGCAGCGGTTCACAAGTGACTCATGAGCCACATGCGGAGGAAGAAACATGGACCCTCTCCCCTCCCCTTCTTCCTCCGGCGTGGTTTAGGGGATCATCACTAACTGTTTTCGCCACAGTCTGCCTTTGCCTTGCTCCTCTGCAGTTGTCAGTTTTTATGTCCCTCGAGCCCTGGCCCTCTTTGAGCTTTTCAGGACCCCAGATACCGAGGAGAAATGCTGTTCAATCTAGGATCCTTTCAGGAGAAAGAAAATCAGGGCAGAAATTGGCAGGCCATCAGATTCTATTGATTCCAAATGCCACTGTTACTGCTCCAACTAAAGTGCTTTTTTCAGTCAAGGCACTTTTCAACTCTGGGTGGAACGTGATCTTTCTTTGCATAGGGTTCATTATCCAGTCTCTTCAGTCAGTCATTCCTTCGTGGATCCTACAAGGGCTTCTGGAGTTCCTGATGGGGGTTGGGTTCCACTCTGGACACTGGGGTGAGTGTTGAACAAGACACAAAAGGCGCCTGCTCTCAGGGAGATTACACCCCAGTGCAGGGAGACAGTCGATAATGTGCCAGCAAATGAATGAACAGAAGGACGGAGCCACAGAGAAAATAACACAACACGGTGCAACTATAGCCGCCAAGTGAGTCGACTGGTTGGGTCTCTGGATGACTGGCTGAGACGACTCTCTGAGGAGGTGCCATTTAAGCTGGGATGCAGGTGATGTGAAGGAGTCGGCCGTGTGGAGATGGGGGGCATTCCTAGTGGGGGCACAAGTACAGAGGCTACAAGGCACTAACAGGCATAGGAAGTTCAAGGAGCCTCGAGCAGATCAGCAGGGCTGGAGCAGTCAGGGTGGGCACAGGGAGGCCTGTCACAGAGCGGGTGACGCCAAACCCGGCAGGGCCTTCCCCGAAGACCACAGCAAGGAGTTTACTGCAGCGGGATAGCAGTGGTGGGAAAGGGGCCTTACAAGGGAGAATGACACGATCAAATCTTTAATTTTCTGGCTGCTGTATGCAGAATGTACTGGAGAAAGAGGACAAGTGGTGATGATGAGACTAGGAAGCTATTACAGTTCCCATGAGAAATAATAGAAAGGTAACGATCTCAGAACAACAGTTAGCATGCATTCCGTGCTCACTGTACAGCAGGCATCGTGCTAAGCCTTGCATGCGCCGCCTCATTCCTTTCTCCTAATACCCCATGAGACGTTAAGAGAGATTAAGTAACGTGTCCAAGGTCACCCGCAGTGGATCTGGATCCAAACCCAGGCAATCTGACTCCCACATTCACCTGCTTTGGAACTTCAGCAATGAGCACAATGTGAACCCTGGAAAGATATCTGTTTTAAGACAATTACACACACCCCTCCATACATATCTGACCCAGTCCTGGAGTTGGAAATGATTTCCTCTGGTAATTCTGATTTAATGATTGTTACATTGTGTGTCTTCGTGGATATGTGTAGAGTTAAATAATTTACATACTTTTCTGCCTAGGAAGAGCTTTAGCGTTGAGTTATCTCCCCAGGTGACTTGGTTTCAGCCTCTGATGGAAGCAGATGAGCACCATGGGGGAATCCCAGACATTTTTTTAGCCTAAACAACAATCAGTGACTTAAGAGTCTCCCCCCGGGGGGCACCAGGACAGCAGTGCCTGCTGTGGAGTGTCCCCCAAGTGTTCCCGGGGTTCTCTGAGGACAGTTGACACACTCCACAATCCCTGCTGGGACTCACTGATAACTCCGCTGGACACCTGCTTTCTCCCTCACCTGGTTCCCTAAGCCGGGACCTGTCCCCTTCCACAGCCACCAGGACCTCACCCCCACCAGGCGTGCCTGGCTCCCAGCAGCATTCCACGGGGGAGGAAGGAGACAGCTTCACTAAGACCCAGACTCCTGCCACCTGAAAGTCCGCCTCCCAAGGAGGTAGCACTCATCCAATTTAGAAACATCCAACATCTGCGTCTGAAACATTTGCCTTTTGTTTATAGCACTGACTTCCAGGTATTCCCGAGATTAACCAGTGCATATTTATTCTGAAGTTATGTGACAATTGTGTGATGGGAGATAAGCAGGTGGCTCCTCTGTGACTGACCTGCTCCTTCTATAGCTAGAAAAGGTTGGCGGTTTTAGATAGGACCCACTCTCCAAAAACCATTTTCAGTTTCCCCTGAGCAGGCATTCCGCTTCATGTACAATAGCATAATTCAAACATACTGCCCAACCAACAAAGACCGGCCAAATAAATTACAGCATACTTTATAAGGAAATATTAGTTGACCATTTTTAAAAATTGTCACAGAATACATAATGACACAAAGATATTTATGCTGTGTTGGTAAGTGTAAAAAACAAGTTACAAAAAATATATATAATCCTTTCATATATATATATATATGGATTTCTGGTCATCTTTGTTAACATTTTATAATCTGCATTTTATAATGTTTTATAATGGAAGTGTTTTACTTTGTAATATGAAAAAAAATCAATTAGAGTATTCTTTAATTCATAAGGCCTCAGCCAGTGCAGGAGCTAAAGGAAGACTTACAGACCAGAGCTGAGATCCACGCCAGACTTGGGCCTTAGAGCAGGGCTAGTCCACAGACATATGATGACAGGAGACACAAGTCTATGTCATTTAGAATTTCCCAGTAGCCACACTTAAGAAACAAAAAGAAAGAAGTGAAATTAATGTTAATGATTTGTTTTACCCAGTATATCCAAAGTGTTATCATATGTTGATATGCAATCTATATAAAAATACTGAGACATTTTATATTCTTTTTCTCTAAGACTTGGAAATGTTTACCCTTAAGGTGCATTTCAAGAGTTCCAGGGGGTGGCGAGTACAGCTCAGTGGTAGAGCACATGCTTAGCATGCATGAGGTCCTGGGTTCAGTCCCTAGTACCTCTATTTAAATTAATTAATTCAAGAAACTAATTACCTGCCCCTCCTCAAAAAAGAGTTCCATAGGGCACCTGTGGCCAGCGGTTACCTTTTGTGAGAGCAGTGAGGAGAGGGGAGGGTGGAGCCTCAGTGATGGGGGGGGCTCCTTTGTACCCAGAGAACAGATGCCAAGTATCAGAGGGAGGCTGAGAGAATGCTCCTCTTGCTTCCCACTCTTTGGTCTCTGGGACCTGGGAGAAAGAGCAAGCTCTCCTTGAGACTCTGTAAGAGCTGGGTTTCAGTGAAGGTGAGGAAGTCGAGGGAACATTCTGTGATACACAAGTGTGTGAGGGGGCGGGGGGTTTACAGCTGCGCGGGGATTGCAGCGGACATGCTGGGAGGACTGGCAGAAGGCCCCACAGTGGGAGGATGAGCCAGGGGCTGAAATGCTCAGAACAACACGGGATGGGCTACATGCGAGGAAGCATGTCCAGAGGGCTTATGTTTTGGGTGGTGGCCAGCTCTAACAGGGATGAGAAGCAAGAAACTAATTGGGCTCGTGGTTCCAAACAGAACTTTGGCGAGCAGGTCTCTCCCTGCCCTTCTGAGGGAGGCTTATGGAAGCCTCTGCAGCTGGTCCCCAGTCCCGCTGTCCTTTACCTGCCTCATGTTGGCTGACGCTAGGGAAACACACATAACTTACATCCTTGAAGTAGTCAGAAGTTCTAATGTGCTCTGTATATATAATCTAAGAATTTTGAAGCTGAGTTTTTAGGGCTAATCCTTCTCAAAACATTCTAGATCTAGATGAACAGTTTCCACAAAGGGCATGACCCTAAACTTAATTCGGAAAATATTACCAACTAAACATGGTGACAGAAAACAGTGGGATAAAATGGAGCTAGACATTGGCAAGATTTGTTCTGCTTTCCTAAAATAAAGATCAATAAAATTGACCCCTTAAATTACTTTACCAATTTCTGCAATAAATTCAGAAATCCACATAGTAATTATTAAGATAATCCTGGTATGTATCAAGTGCACAATAAACTACCACTTTATTTGAACACATTAAAGGCAAAAAATCCAAGTCAAGTAAATTTAAGAAGTGAGATTAATTTTAATAATTTGTTTTACTCAACAAATCCAGTCTTATTATATTTCAATATACAATCTATATAAAAATTTTATAGTTCATTTTATTCTTTTTCACTAAGACTTGGAAACATTTACATTTAAGGCACATTTCAAGAGTTCCATAGGCACCTGTGGCCAGTGACTACTGTTTGCAGTTCGTATTTGTTACAAAAGTACAAAATACTTTTGTATTTGTTAGCAAACTCCAGTGGAGAACATTGTTCATTGTATGGTTCGATTTTGCTTGCAAGATCCCACTGAGAATTATTAGAAATAAACAAAATCTATAACTTTCTTGAGGAACTAATATTCTTTATGATCAGAAAGAAAACCTCAGAATAAAGGAATCCTCTTTTTCAGAGAAAATGTTTCCTCTGTAATGTTTCATCCTTTGCAATAGTGAGAACTTTTATTTAGACAGTTTCTCTTTTTGCTCTGGGCACCAGGAAACTCAGCAAAAGCTGGTGTTCAAGCAGAAGTCTATATTGTATTGCTACTCTTGCAATCCATGGTCCTGATTCCCTAACATATTATTGTGTGTACACACACATACAGAGACGTACACACATGCCTACACCTTTTTCAAAGAGATGGGACACAAATGTTTTAATTGCTGCATAATGGAAGGCACCAAAGACTTGGGTTGAGGAGAGCCCACCACGAAGCTCATCTTAGCAGGCACCAGCTGGGTAACTTCGGACATGTCACTTACCTTCTCTAAGTTTAGTTTCCTTGTCTATGAAAGATCTACTTGGTCTCTCCCTCATAGAGTTCTGAAGATTGAATTAGATGATGTGAGAATAAGTAGTAGGAAGTGCCATTTCTCTCAATACTTTTCTCATCCTGTTCTGGCCATTTGCCTGTCCTGGCTACACCCCAGAGCCGGATTCAGCAGATCTGGTTCAGATCCAGGTCTACCAAACCAGAATCCAAAGGTTATGGCTTAGGCATGTGGATGTTTCATACATTTCCCTAAAACGAGCACCAGAATTCAGTATGTTCCCAGGAAAGGGGGCCGCCTAGAAGCCTCTTGATACACGTTATAGCCCTAACCCCTACGACTACATACATCCTTGGCTTGCTCCAGGACTTCTGGAAAAATAAGTATCTTCTACTTCAGTCTCCTCTTGGGTAGCAAGGGTCCTAAGAGCTGTGGCCGGCAGAGGTGTGAGGGGCGAGCCCCCCCACTAGGTATCATTTCCCCAGGGAAGACTCCCTGATGCCCCCACCATCACCCTACCCAGTGTACATTAGGTGCCCCTTCCAAGTGCTCACCTGCACCCCGTGCAAGTTTCTACCTCTGTTCTCGTCAAACCTCACATTATTTCTCTCTTAGTCTCCCTTGCTGGAGTGTGAGCTCCTTCAGATTGGAATATGTGTCTTAACTCACCTTAGAATCCCTAACACAGGTAGTACAGGTGTTCAGTGCATGATGAAGAACCCTTCCCTTCCTTCCATCTTTCCATTTCTTTTATTTTCTCTTGGAATATTTTCCCTACTTTTGGGGGTTAGGGGCAGAAGATGCTCCAAAATAGAGAGTGAGATCATTTTGCTGAGAATCTGGGGAAACGGTAGTTAGGGAGAGAGCCAGATGAGGGAAGGAAGCGAACATTTACTGAGTGCCTACTGTGTATGCTAGGCAGCCTCACCTGCCCATCTCACTTAAGTCTTCCAACCCTCCATCCCTACATGCTTGTGCTCTCATTCAAGCACTCACCCATTAACCCTCACAATGACTTCAAGTCAAAAACTTGACTGAACTTGAGCAAATTACACGAGCAAATTTATTACACATTACAGGGATACCAAAATAGGCTTTTAAAATAGAACGACACTCATTTTGATGATCCCTAATCCCAAGAAAGCAAATCCAACATCAGAAGTCAAGAGCCCATTATTTGTATCTAGATCATCCACCCCTGGGCAGTAAGTCAGAGAATTAAGATAATTACACACTTTCTGGTTCATTATCTGTGATGAAACATCCTACAGATATGTAAAATGTCAGGGGGGGCTGCACTCCCATGCAAGCTGTTACAGGATCTGTTACAGATTTCCCTGATGCTCAGCAAGGTCAAACACACCATATATCAGCACATGCAGGACTAGAATTCCCACCCACTGCCGCCTGCCCTGCCTGCAGCCCCACTCTTTCCGTGAGCCCCAGCCTCATTCTCAACCTCCACCTGGGCCTCCCCACTCCATTCTCTCAGTGGCGTCTTTGTCCCTTGCTCTTATGCCACACTATCCACAGGCTCGACTTCAGCTTTACCAATGGTTATCCAGGGCCCTTGGAAATGGAAGGCAGTGGGTTAAAAGCGTGGAGGGGCACCCCTGACATATATACATGTGAACAAAATACCTTCCATATCTTCCCTTCCAATTAGATCCATTGTCGAGTTTTTTGGCCAGAAAAGATGAGGCAGGCATGTCTGACTGCTTCCTCAATGCATTCCCACCACCCTTTTCTTCGCTAACAGGATGTAGGATGCTGCTTACATCGCTGAACAGCCACAGGCTCAGGGATATAACACAGTGTCAGCCTATAAGGGGAAGTCTGCTGGAGGCCTCAGAGAAAGGTGTCCTCCCTGATAAAAGGAGATTCGTGGAAACAAACTCTCCTTTCTGCCTTTGGACATTTTCATGAAAGGACATGATGCTTGGAGCTGCTGCAGCCATTTTGTGCCCATGAGGGAAAAGCCAAAGAGTATGAAAGAAGCTCACCTGGAGCCCACTTAACCAATTCTGAGACTTTGTGAGAAAACTAATTCTTTCCTGGTTAAGTCACTTTTATTTGGGTATTCTGTTACAGCCAAAAGCATCTTTGTTGACTCAGGAGGAAAGCCCAGAACATCTAGTTTGTTATTCAGACTAATGGGCTAGACAGACAAGAAGACTTAAGTAACAAGAATACATCTCTGCATTTCTGGTTTCATGGCAGGTATAATAGTCATTTGAGGAAGAAAGACTTCCTTGGATCTGGCCTCTCTATGGCTTGTGGAAATGGCCAAAAACATCCTGATATCTATTAAGAAACAGTAACTATGACCAGCCTCTGTCTGGCAACCTCGGCATCTTAGAACCCAGGGCAATATTGAAAAACCAAGTTTATGTGCCTTACAACAAGTTTTTCAACTGGGATAAAATTCTATCCCATAAACATCAATTATATTTGAAACTTATTCTTCTGGGATATAGAAATAATGACCAAGACTACAGAATCCTAGAATTTTAAAGTTGGAAAATAGTTGGAGATTATCTCTGGCAACCATTGTATTTTACAAATGAGAAAACAAATTGCTGATGCATTTCCTACAGACAATTACTGAGATCATGAAAACAAAATCCTCACTCCTTCATATGAGGGAGAATTTCTTCAATGACTTTCAGACCATCTATTTTAAACAAGATGGTTTCTTTCTATCAGGTATTGGAATGTAGAATTCTCTTTATATACGTCTGTTGAACAACGTGGAAAAAAATGAACTCACACAAAAGGAAAATAAACGGATGCACTCAAGATGCTGTCATACGGGCTGCTGTCCTAGGCTGCCATGCTTCTGAATTGGTGTCAGGATAAGCTATTCCTTCAAGTAATTAAGCCAGAATGAGTAAACGAAATTTGCACTTGTGCATGGTTCCCCTGTAGTATCTCACAAGCATGTGAGCAAATGCTTATTAACCATACATAGAATGTTGTCTTCCTACAATTATTTTACCAAATACTTACACCTCCACTCATGGGACAGTCTCAGTGTCCTTCTCAAGTCTAAAATAAAATCATTCTGTAACAGTCTTTAAGTCAATTTCAGCCACACATTTCACCCCGAGAAACGAATAGGAGAAGAGTCCCCACCTCAACTCTGTTCCCTGCCTGTCCTCGGGAATCACAAGGTGAAGGGAAGGCAGGACCTAAATAAAACTTTCAGAGTTGTAACAAGCAACATGGATAAAGTTTCTATCAAAATAACAGCATCTGTACTTTGATAAGGGACATACATATTAAAAAATGGAAATGAATTTGAGAAGTTTTATGATCCTACAGTTGAGAAGTTCAGGACTAAGATAATTATTAAGGAAAAAAACCTAAAAGTATCACTCACCTTGTAGTGAGCCCCAACCTCAGTCAGGAGGCCAACACTTTGGGGTAATTTCAAGAGTGTAAGGATGTGAGAAAATAAGACTTCAGTGCAAATATCCTAGGGAGAGGTAACATGCTGATTTAAGTTTATACTCAGATCAAATGCAGACAAAGCTATTCCTGAACTCGTTTGGCTAGTGTGGACAGAAGAGAGTCTGAACTGGGAGAAAGGATGTGTAGATACCAAGAAGTGCTGAAGTGAACAGCAGAAAATGGGTCTGACAGTAATCCTGCTCCTGGGCATATATCCAGAAGGAACCCTATTTCAAAAAGACACCTGCACCCCAAAGTTCATAGCAGCACTATTTACAATAGCCAAGGCATGGAAACAGCCTAAATGTCCATCAACAGATGACTGGATAGAGAAACTGTGGTATATTTATACAATGGAATACTATTCAGCCATAAAAAACGACAGCATAACGCCATTTGCAGCAACATGGATGCTCCTAGAGAATGTCATTCTAAGTGAAGTAAGCCAGAAAGAGAAAGAAAAATACCATATGAGATCGCTCATATGTGGAATCTAAAAAACGAAACGAAACAAAACAAAACAAAACATAAATACAAAACAGAAACAGACTCATAGACATAGAATACAAACTTGTGTTTGCCAAGGTGGAGGGGGTGGGAAGGGATAGACTGGGAGTTCAAAATCTGTAGATACTGACAGGCATATGTAGAATACATAAACAAGATTATACTGTATAGCACAGGGAAATATATACAAGATCTTGTGGTAGGTCACAGTGAAAAAAAATGTGACAATGAATATACGTATGTTCATGTATAACTGAAAAATTGTGCTCTACACTGGAATTTAACGAAACACTGTAAAATGACTATAACTCAGTAAAAAAAAGTTTAAAAATAAAATAAAGTAAAATAAAATAAGAAAATGGGTCTGAAATAAAGAAATTCTCCCTTCAGCCCCCTCCTGGTTTTCTTCCTGTGCAGAGAATTAAGCATGGTGTTCCTCAGAGGCTTCAGAGCATGGTTCCAGGAGCAGACAGTGCATTCCTTCCAAAAACAGGGCTGCCCACAAATCTCTAGGCAGCAAAAACAAAACCACTTGCTTGAGTTTATCTTTAGCACAAAGTCATTAGTCAAATCTTAGAGGTGTTTCTCTGAGGGAGAAGACTGTGGCGCAATAAAGACTGTACCTGGTCTTTGTCCCTGGTTCCTAGAACAGAGCTTCAAAAGTCCTTGGAATCTCCTGAATGTACTGGGCTAAGCTGTGTCACCCCAAAGTTTATTGAGGTCCTAACCCACATTACTTTGGGATGTGACTGTATTTGGAGACAGCGTCTTTGAAGAGGTAACTGAGGTAAATGAGGCTGTAAGGGTGGGGCCCTGATCCAACATGACTGGTGTCCTCATAAGAAGAGATGAGGACACAGCATGGGATTCCATGAAAAGAGGACACAGAGACGCTCTGAGCCCCCACCCCCCAGACCTCGCCCCATGAGTGTCTTCCATTTGGCCATTCTTGATCTGATCCTTTCTGATGAAACTGTAATGGTGAGTATAAGGCTTTTAGTGACCTCAGTGAGTCGTTCTAGCAAACTCCTGAACCTGAGGGGGTCATGGAAATCCCCAAATTTATGGCTGGTTTTCAGAAGTGGGGATGGCCCCTGAGACTTGTGGCTGAAGTCTGAAGTGGGTGCTGTCCTGAGGAGGACTGAGCCCTTAAACCCGTGGGGTCTGAGGCTAACCCTGGGAATTCATGTCAGAAGGTGAATTAAATTGCAGGACGCCTAGTGGGTGTCAAGACAATTGGTGTCAGAACAGTAATAGTCTTCTGAGAACCCTGTTGTTTGAATTCTTTACACAAAGCATTTTTTCTGTTGTTCCAGGTGTAAAGCATTCCTTTCTTAGAAGGAATGTTCCTCTAAATGTTCCATTATTTAAGGTTATTAAGACATTTTAGAAAGTGAATCTGAGTTACATTAAATGTAGCTGACTAGGTGATTTTTGTGGTCTCAAATGAAATCAAATACTGAAACTAAAACACCAATTTTGGATCATTTTGAGAATTCTTCAAACTCCACTAGTTCAATATGAATAGAAATAATATTTATTATTTTATGATATTTGCTTATACTATCACAGTGGAATGGTCTTATGACAGGTAATGCTCAGATGAAAATATCAGAGACTATAGCCTTTTCATGACAGTACTTAGTTTCATGGCAGTACTTAGATCATTTCTTTTTTCTAGATGAGGCATAATTGTGACCAAAATTTATGGTGGGAAACAAAGATTCGAACTCTATTGTTTACTGTTGGCTTTTTAAAGATAAAATAAGAACACTTAAAAACAGAAAGGGATGAGGATTTTTACACTAATTAAAGCCATAAATTATGCTAAAAAGGATTACCTAAGACAAAGAAAAAAAATCCTGATTACTTTGTAAAATATTTTAAATGACAATGCTGGTAGAACTTTCCTATAGTCATTGGTTAAACTGAAGTTTAAAGTCTTGAGATGGAAAGAGGGAATAGTGCTTGAGAATGTCTTTGCTAAAGCATAGAAAAGGATTTACATTTAGAAAGACAAACCATTTTATTAGACTAATGACCAGGAGCCTTCTCACCTAGGCACTGGGGTAAAGTCACTCTGTGACCCTTTATCCTAGCTAGAAGTGGAAAGAAACAGGGAGAGGGAGAATACCAACCAATTCAGTCCCCTAAGGGTTTTCATAAGCAATACACTTTGCTCATCCAAACAACCCAAAGTTCTGGTAACAGCAGCTATCTGACTTGCTAATAGCCAAAGTATATTACATCCCTGTGACTTGTTTATTATACAACTGGAGGTTTGTACCTCTTAAGTCCCTTCACCTATTTCCCCCACCCTCCCACCCCCACTCCCTTCTGGCAACCACCTGTTTGTTCTTTGTATCTATGAGTCTGTTTTGTTTTGTTTTGTTTTGCTTGTTGTTTAGATTTCACACATAAGTGAGGTCATGTTGTATTTGTCCTTCTCTGTCTTACTTTATTGCACTTAGCACAACATCCTCCAGATTCATGCAAGTTGTTGCAAATGGCAAGATTTCATTTTTCATGACTGAGTAATATTCTGTCACACACATATATATACACACACACACACACACAGATGCCATATCTTCTTTATTCATTTGTCAATTGGTACACACTTGGGCTGCTTTCATATCTTGGCTATTGTACATAATGTTGCAATAAACACTAGAGAGAATATATCTTCTCGAATTAGTGTTTTTGTATTCTTCAAGTAAATACTTTCTGAGGTGAAACTGCTGATTATTTGACAGTTCAATTTTTAATTTTTCAAGGAACCTCAATACTGTTTTCCATTGTGGCTGCACCAATTTACATTCCCACCAACAGTGCACGGGGGTCCCTTTTCTTCACATCTTTGCCTGCAGTTATGTGTTGTCTTTTTGATGACAGCCACTCTAACAGGTGTGAGGTAGTAGCTCATTGTGGTTTTGATATTGTCATTATTCTTAAGGTTGACATCAAGTGGTTCTAATAATGCCAAAAAATTTTGCAGACATCCAAGAATACTCATAATTCCCTTAGCAAAAGCAAGAGCAAAGGAATTGCATAAGTGAAAGTTGAGTTAAATTATGTCCAAATTCTTTCTTCTGAGAAAGAAACAAAGCAGCCAAAAACTGGTACAAATGTGGTACAAATATGACAGGATAGAAAACATGGAGACCACAGCAATTACTCCTTTAATCTCCTAGCACGCAAACATTGCTGTAGAAAGTTGGAATGAGATTTGACTCCAAATTAAATGGGAATGAAGTGATTTTCCAGGAAACTAATTAAGAAATTAAGAGGGATGTGGAGCTATGGTTATTAAAATAAAATTTAGTAAAAGTCAATCATGTGTTTAAAAGACAAAAGCAATTGTTTACAGATGTTCTCGTGGGTGAGAGGAAGGCCGCGGTCTATAGTGACCTGAGGCACGTCAGATTTTTTTTTTTAAAAGGAAAATCTATAACATAGCAAGATGTTCATCAACTCCAACCACAATTTAATGAGTCTCAAGAAACAGAGGAAATGTATATAAACTATCACTTTTTTAGGCATTGAGTAAAAATTATTTGTAATTTATCTTAAAATGGGTCAGCCAAAAAAGTTATGTATATATGCATATGTTGCTCAGTCTAGGTTTTGGTAACGGTTATTCACTGAACAATTCTCCACATTTTCTGTGTGTTGAAAATTTTTTATTAAAAAAAGTCTAAAAATCAGTTAACCAAACAAAAAGAATTTGAAAAGAAATGTACAAAGGCTAAATAATTCAAATACCCCATTACTGGTGCCCAAAAGAAGCAAACACCATTATGACTCTTCCTGAAACTTGGTTAAAAGGCACAAATAAAGGCTAGTTTCCATCTTAGGCCTATTATAAGAGTTTATATATTTTTATTACATAATGCAAATTGAGACCTCTGGGAAACAAGTAGAATGAATACATTTTCATTGTAATCAATTAAAATAAAGATGTTTTGGTGTTTGTATTTACACCAAAGAGATAGATAGTATTTGCCAATGCATAGGATGAAATTCTGAAACCAACAAGTATGTGCCCAGCTCTGTGGAGGATATATGCCCCCAGGGCATTTATGCCTGGACAAGAAAATGAGACTTCCACACAAAATAATTAGAAATGACGTAAAATACAGAGCTAAATTAAATGCAATTGTGGATTAAAATATATTATAGATTTACAAATATAGGGCATATCTGGTAGGCAGAATGGTCCCCCAAAGATGTCCATATTTTAATATGGACATATGTTACCTTCTATGGTAAAAGAGACTTAGTAAGTGTGATTAATTTAAGGATTTTGAGATGAAGAGATTACCCTGGATTATTCTGAATAATCACAGAGGTCCTTATAAGAGGACAGAAGGGGAGTCAGACATGACCAAAGAAGCAGAGGTTGGAATGATGTAGGGTAACAAGCCGAAGAAGGCTGCAGCCTCTAGAAACTAGAAAAGGCAAAGAAATGGATTCTTTCCTAGAATCTCTATAAAGAACACAGACTTACGATCTCAT